GCGCTTTCGAGGACCATCAATGCGTTCCTCATTAACTGTCGGGGGCAGAGAAGAGGTCTGTGGCACAACGAGTGCCCTTGTGCAAACAAACCTGTTACCTGATCTGGCGCTGGCAGCCCTGGTGTGTTGTCCAGGGTTTCTGCGCAGGTCTCTCCAGCATTGCTTCCCGCCACATCCCTTCTCTCTTTTCTCTCTTCCCTCTCCAGCAAGACCCGCTGGAAAGGCACTTACTTACCTTGCCCATGTCAGCTCTGCAGAGCCGAGCAAACTTGTGGGTGGCACCGGTTGTGGCATCAGGCAGGCACGTGCACCGGAGTGAGACAGCCCTGTCCCCCGGCACCCATTACAGAGTCACGTCTGTATCTAACCGTGCAGTTGTACCAACACGATAATTTTTGCATTCCTGTCATCTTTGTGGTATGATAAACAGCACATGAGACACAGGTCACTGCAAGTTGTTTCTGCTGTAGCAGGTTGTGCCCGTGTGGGTCATGCTGGAGTTAAAGGCAGGGAGCAGCAGCGGCATTCACCTTTAGTAAGTGATTCACAAGGCTTGTACCATCTGGTTGGGAAGATTTCCGAGGGCACAGCTCAGTTGTTACTGTCCCTGATAGCCTGGAAATCTCTCCATCATGCTCTGGAGCATGAAGTGCTGTCACAGGGATGACGTTTCTTGCAGCCCTGCCTCATGGCTAATTCCCCCATCTCCTTCAAGCCTCCATCTCACTGTAAACCGCCTTGCTATTTCTCTACTCGTTAAGATATTTCTAGAGCACGGTGTATACAAAAGTAAATAATACACACCAGAGAATGTAAACCGAAGGGGACAACTGGCTCAGGCAGTGGATGGGTGATACAGGCCAGTGACTTGAAGCACTTTCCAGAGAGGGAATGTGCTGTTTGAAACCAGGAGGAGGAGGAGGAGGAGGAGGAGGAAAACTTGCTGGTTAGTTTCAGCAGTCAGTCAGTTTTCTCTGCTAAATGCGGTATTTCTAAACTGAGCTTGTCCTGGCTTTAGTTTTGCAGTCACTGCCTCTCCTTACGGGCTCGCCTTAAACAGCCCTTTACTACCTGTGAAAATAAAATACAATATATACTGTTAATTTTTTTAAATTTCTAACGTCTTTCAGGTAAGATAGGAGACTTAAATCTGAGGATTGAGAAGATACATTTCAGTTATCTGTTGGGGGTTATTTGTTGATAAGCTTTTTACCACGTGAACTCATGCTAGACACAGTGTCTTATTTTAGGTCTCAGTGATGTCTTGAAAAACTGCTTCCCGGGCTTATTTATCCAGGATCTTTCTCAGTCTCATCCCTCAGTACCTAGTGGTGGGTTGCTTGTCTACTTTGACCTTGCTGGGATGCCCACCCATTTATTCTTTAATGGAGCAGAGGTGGCTGGTTTTTGGGTGTACAGGGGCCCCTGTCCCGTGGCAGCCCCTCTGCCCCCTCTCCAGGCAGCTCACATGGGGAGAAATGCATCCGGTATGCAGAGCTGGGAATACAGGGGGATCAGAGCAGAAAAGGAGGAGCCTTCTGAAGGTGGATCCCCCAGGAAGCTGCGGAAGGAGCCCGGTGGAGGCTGGGGGGGGGGGGGGGAGGAGACTGGTTCCAGGCTCACTGGAGGCAGTAACTGCCGCCGCGAGGCTTGGCCCTACCACAGGGTGAAACAGCTTCTCTGTAAACAAACCAGCTGGCACCGATGTATTCAGGAGGTTTCGCATGTGAAGCTCTGCTCAGGGGCACGTCAGGGTTCACAGGGCGGTAAGGTAAGGGGGACCAGTTATGTCTAGGTCCTAAAGCAGAGGGAGGTGCAGGCGCATCTGGAGGTGGGAGTCGTGTATCAGAAATAAGTACATGCATTTGGGGGGCCATGGTGGTGTCACCATGCTAGCTGATGAGCCGAAACCATGGCTGCAGGAGGGACCCTGGAATGCCGTCGTTTCTGCCCTGAGCTGAGCCCAAGCAGAGCCCAGCTCTGCCCAGCCCTGCCACCTCCTGCTCTGCAGAGAGGCCTCGAGCATCAGCCTTCAACACGGTTGACTTCTGCAACACTTTATTATGTATTTCCACACACAACACAGGAACCGAGAAAGGAAGAAACCAGCACCGCTGCTGCAGAGGGGAGTCAGTGACGGGGCAGTGCCGCCATCCTTGGGGACAGCCTGTTCGCAGCTGTTTTTTCCTCAGGTTGCTGACATGACCCCTGAGCATCCTTTTCTGGCACAATTCACAGGCACGTGGGGCACAGTTTGAAGGGGCTACGGAGTGGAGGTTTCACATTGCTACGCTGGCAGTGCGGAGCTGCGAGCTGGGCACAGTCATGCGTCTTCACAGAAATGCCCAGATGTGCAAAACAGCTGGTGTCCAGCCAGCTGCGGCCTGTCCACATGTGCAGATCGGGGAAGCTGGGAATAACCTCAGCAGGCAGAGGAGGTGCACTTCGGCATCGCTGCTCATGCATGGACACAGACTTGCACAGCAGCAGCAGCAGCAGCGGTGATGGTGCAAAACTGTCCAGCTCTGGCCTGTCCCTCCCTGTGTGTGCACAGGGGTCTCTGCTGGACCTGGGGTCAAACAGCCCGGAGGGGAAGGACGGCTCTTTGCTTTGCAGAGGATTTAGCACAAAAGGACCTGAGCTTAGTATCACCCTCTGAACTCTTGGGCAGATTAAGGGAAACGATGCAGAGAGAGGAAGAAACAGCAGTTTAATGAAATGTACAGATGATGTGAAAGTGGCAGAGGAAAGTGTAGAAATAACAGAAATCCAGGAAAGAAAAGCCAAAATTATGTTCCTGTACTTTGGGAAAATAATCCAAGGCTTCAGGGGAAGGAAAGGCAGCAGGAGCAGGGCAAGAATGGATGAATACAGAAATGCCCTCGTGCCATCTGGGTGCATTGGGGCAATGTGGTCTGGAGCTGCAAAGGGATGAATTCCTCATTGTCCAGCATATACCTTGTGGGGTTCACTGGTGCTGAACTCTGACAGTGCATCAAGGTGTGACACGGACAGTGAGTCGTGCTGTTACTGAGGGAATGAGCTATTGTCCTCTTCCAAATAAATTTGCTACCAGGCACCAAAGAATAATAGCTCAGCTTTGTTCCATTACAGAGGGAACTCAGCAAATAATGAGCAAAAATAACAGCTGGGGCAGAGCAGCTCAGGGGAGGGGGAGATGGGAGCAGGTAGGACGATAAAGAAGAAGAGAAGGTTGTGCAGGATCTGCTTCACTAGGAGGTTAGGATCTGTGTCTGTGGAAAGGTCAGGGAAATGGTTCATGGGTCTATGGAGGAAATGAGAATTTTGACAGGTAAATTATCCTAAAGTCACAGGAAAAGCTCCTGGGAGGGAGTTGTTAGTCTGCCTCTGGGAAAGGCACCTCGGTGATAGACACCTTGTAGAGATAAAACACCAAAAAAGCTCCAGGTAAGGCCCTAGTGGCGGCAGAAGAACTTTTCTGCCCCGCAGCAGCTGCAGCACTTGGGGAGACAGAAAGAGCATGGGAAGGCAGTTGTGCTGGGCAGGATCTCAGCTGGGACTGGGATGAGCCGCAGCGCTCCCAGGCTGCAGGGCTGCTCAGCTTGGGACACCGCTGTCAGGGGGTGACACTGCTCCCTCCTCACAGCCCCGTGCAGGGCAGCAGCCGCAGCCCTGCAATTTGGGCACCCCATCACCATCCGGCCTGCTGTTTGTGGCTGTATTGGCTGGAACTCCCTGCTGGGATAAGAGAGCCCCAACACAGTCCAGCACCGATAACCTGTCAGGGTTATCCATCACCCTTTGATCAGCCCTTTGATAAACCACAGCAGACAGTGGGCTGCAGAAGGGTAATATTGGAACAGATCCTGGCATTGCTAATACAACCGGCATTTCACATGAGGTCCAGCCACACCAGGGGCTCTGGCACATGGAATCCCACGCAAACCCCATGCTCCCTCTCACAGACACATAGGTGCTTTCTCGGGAGCAGCCCTTGCAGCCGTACCTCCCCCTGCGGTCCC